CTTGAATCCTTCTGACAGACACGTTTTAGACGCTTTGGTTAAAGACAAGATTTCCCAAATAGATTCTACAAGACCAATCAAACACAGGTACTACCCAGTTTCTCCATATAAACAACAAATTATAGATGATGAAGTTGAGAAAATGTTGCGACTTGGTGTCATTGAGCGATCTAATAGCCCTTGGTCAAGCTCTGTGTGCTTAGTTAGGAAAAAGGATGGAAAGCTCAGTGGCTGCCTAGGGTAAAGCGCAAATCACTAAAACACTAACAACAAAACACCTCATGGTATTATAAGCGGGCGTTATAGACAATAACGCCCGCTGGGCTTATAATGCTCTCAGGTTGTTATAGGTATGTTAACGTATTTCGTTTCCTAGGTATTATGGATCTATAATAGTTAAGTAGAAAATAAATGTATTTATTTTTCAAAATTACTGTCTTTTTCTGATTCTGGGGGGGATATTGCATTATGAAATTTTACAAATAGATGGATTATTGATATTGATCCCAATCGATTCAGCAAAATAATCAGCGCTGCTATTTGCCCTGATTCCGATTTTCATTTTATTATTGTCTCAAACAAAATACAAGTAGAAATGGAAATGAAATTACTGATTTTTTTATTTTTTTTGCCCAATTTACCATTCATATCGAGATCGCGGCCAGGATTAAAAAGGACTAAAGGACCGTTCCGAGTCGTTCGAATCGCACGTGCGTTTCCCGCATTCAGGGGTTGGGGGTTGGGGGGTGGCGAACAATCCCTCAGGGGGGCCGTGACTTTCAGGCGCGACACGAATTTTGATCGTTTTAATCCAGAGTTTATGTCCGCGACGATAATTGCTCCGCGGAACAACTTTTATAGAGGTTCAGGGTAAAGGTAATGACCGTTTTGCTTTTTTTTTGAGGTTTGATTTTTTTTTTCGAATTAATCTCAACTTGTAGGCGCCAACAATTTCAATAGCAATTCTTGAATATTTAACTATTTCCCCATAAAAACCAGGAAACGGCCGTCACAAAATAAAAATTTACATTCCCGAGCATTGAAAGCTAAAAAGCCGACAATATTATGATGATGTGTAGCTATCATTTTCTAATTACCAAAGCAAGAAACGTAGCCATTGGTGACCTTCGGGTGCAGCCAATTCCACATCGGTAGCAGCACGTGAGGTGTTTGATATGCTTGGAGGTGTCCGTCGTGTCCTGGAGCTCCCCGCAATGTCACCAAATACGTGATGGACGCTCCTTTAACATTTTCGATTGACCTGAACAGAATTTTGTTTCGATTGTAGGTACCCCACATCGCATTCGTCTGGGAAATCGGAGATAGGCTTTTGATGCGGTACTGAAATAGGTACTATACGTGTTTTGGTTGTGTGATGGTTGTGAAGATTTTTTTAATTATATAAAATGATGATCGAAACAAGACAATAATGACAAATTATAGCTACAATCAACAACATATACTATTCAAACAAAGTTTTCCATAATGATTAACATTACAAAGACATCAAGTTGTTATATTGTCTAAACTAATAATACCTACTTGATAAAAATTAAAAAATTCCCATAATTTTTCAAAACAATGCGTGTTAATGAGGCAAACGAAGTCTTGTTAGCTGTTTAAATTAATCGATGGCCAAAATTATACCGTTTTTTTCTTTAATTAAACTGTTACTTCTCATGGATCCAAAAAAAAATCCTGTTAGGCGGCAACCTCTAAAAACTATTCAACAGATTTGGGCGACGATAAAAAAAAAGAGATAGATTTGGCTTACGTTGGTAATTAATTGTCAATAATTGTGGTGCTTAATTGGCATCAGGAATTTTTTATTTCATAAGGTTTATTTCTAATTCTTGTCATCATCATTTGTATTGATTTTTCTTGAAAAAATTGTACAGTCTCTAAGCTTTCCTGCCTGATAGATGTTTCACCAATTAAACTAATTAAAATAAGATGCCGGAATTTATTGACAATTTTTCAAACATAATCCCACATATACACATTTTTCCTAATTAACTTCTACTAAGATAACAAATTAATTACCGCGATCTAATTCTTCACGCTTAGTTTCAATACATAAAACGTAATCCTCATCAAGTCTAATCGGGGGCGCACTTACGCAACATTTTACGTTTTCCGACAGCCGATAAGATCCGACAAGACAATTTTATTGGCGTCTTTGCGAGATCAGATTAAATTGGCAAATAATTTAATTCGGAATTTTGCGGAATTTATCGTGCAATTACTAATTCAATGTCAACGTGGCTTGTGCAAGATAAGTATTATTGTTGTAATAGTACCGTGGTTCCTGGCTTATTCAAAATTCAAAATGGTTTGGGTATATAAGGTACTGAGATGGCCGCACCCAAAATACCATATCTCTACCTCTTCATTTCTTCTTTTGACAATAGTATTTTGCTAACGTGTTACACCACTTAGACATTAGCATTTCCAATTGTTTTATCCATTCAAAGTTCAAAGTGGCGGGCTACCAGCCTTTTAGTACTATAGCACCTTTCGGCCCACGGATTTAACACAATAATGTACAACAAAGAATGGTCCTACGCGAGAAAGGATCTGTATTAATTTACATTTATTGGGAATTAATTTTTAAGTTTGAAACAAACCTTTATCTATTAGAGAATTTCATAGGTATTATCTATTCACAATCTGATATCCAAAGGTAAAGGTAAAATTTATCACCTTTCAGTGTTATTTGATAGGGAAAGGTGATAAATTTACCTTTACCTTTGGACTACGAATTGTGAGTAGGATATAGACTATTAGATGCGCTATTAGAATTTTTACCAAAAATTGTATCCTTGATTTAGATTTTGGAAAACTTTGAAAGGTCATAACTTTTTTTCTATTATAGATTGAATGCTGACATTTTCAGCGATTTTTATATCAGTAGAGGACTACAACCCCAAAAAATTGTGTTAAGCAATTTGGGGTGATTTATCAATTTTTCTGAGTGCCTTTTTTCATAGATTTCGGCTTCATATCTGAAAATAATTTAGACACAAAATCTCAACAAAAAAAAAATTGAAAGGACCCCGCACGCATATTCATATGTAACAGGTAAGATGTCCATTCGGCTATTCCGAACGTTTCTTTATATGTAACGTGTACGATAGAATTTTGTTGGATGTCGCAACTGTTATATAGAATCAACAAATAAGTTAAGTTTCAGTTAAATTCAAGCGAATTATAAAAAATCAATTTTGATAATTTTAGGCAAAAAATATTAAAAATAACGACAGCTCTAAGTGCTTTTCAAGGAAAACTAAAACCAAAAACTATTTCTGGGTTTATTTTTTATCGATCCGTTTATTTGTGAACATAAGTACTGTATAACAACAGATATAGTTTATGCAATAAAGTGAACACAAACGATTTACTTTTTAGCTTTGTTAGAGTCCAAACCACGATTCTTCTCAACACATAGATTGATTGAATGTGGAGCTCTTACATTGTCTTTCTTGCTGCCAAGAGAAGGTCTTCCTACTAGCTTTCTTTTGCCACAGATTTTACGTTTTCGTCTGGAAACGGCTGTTGGCTGAACGCTAATTTTTACTCCTCTTCTTAAAATTTTAGGATGACTGTTGCCGGTTTTGATTTTGCTTGCTCCTTTGTACTTATAGGAGGTATAAAGACCTGATAATAAAGATGGAACAGAAATAGCATATTTTTTGAAGTTATCCAAATGTCGATTGACAGCTGGTAAGAATTGTGTCGGATCATTTTCAATATGCTGTAAAATTGTATTACTGTAGGCCATCCATGCAGTCTTTGTTGCTTCAATTTCCGAAGCCAAGTTTTCTACTGCGTCAATTTCTTGCAGTGGCTCTGATTCTATCGTAAAAGGATCAACTTCATTGGGACTAATTAATTCTGGTGTAAAAGAAGTCTTTGCAGTTCCAGGTGCCTGTAGTGGGCAAAATAATGTCTCTTTCGGTTCTTTTCCGGTAGCAATTTGATAAAACAATATTTTATTTTCGTGAGTTAAAGTATTAATTGTCCTTAAAATGCCAAATTTTGAAATTACTGCGGCTTGATGTTTGCAATGTTTTCCGTTATATCCAACGGGGCAACTACAATGCATGTTATCATATCTATGTGATAAATGATATCAGGTTTAGAAAAACTTGCAACTTCATATTGATGATTTCCTATGTCTTTTATAATCGCATTTTCGATCGATTGCTTTGGCAGATATCTCTCTTGAATTGCTTTACTTTCACGTTTTAAGACAAAGAATCCGTTGTTGATAATATCGTTCAAATCCAGTACATATGAAGTCAGCTAATTGGGTAAGATTGAATGCTTTTGTACGTTCCAAAAGGTATATCCTTTAGTAATCGAAACATTATTTCCGCATAATTATTTGTGTCCGATCCGCGCAATAACAAATTACGTCTGTAAAACAAACACCAAGTCTCAACTTGCAAATACATGTCTTCTACATATTTGAGAAATTTAGGATGTTCACATTCTTCATTCAATAATTTCTTTGCTGCATCAAGTTTATCTTTCGAGTTTGAATATACAATATTTAGGAATAACTGGTAATAACGTTGATTGTGTGTTTTCGGAACTCCATTTTTTGCAGTAGTGAGCTAACGCCAACATGCTTTTAACACATGAAATATACATAGGAGCATTTTAGAACGTGGAAAACATTGCTGTAGGACTTGTCTTTCCCCTAAGTCGTTATCTATCATTATGACAGATGGCTGTATTTTAACAGGAAATATATGTAGCAAAGCTTGTACTGCTGCTTGAAATATTTCTTTTTTTTGACTATCACTTAATATACAACCAATAGGTAGTCCTCCCACGGGAGATTGAGTTGCAAAAAAATAAACTTTGTGATCCTGAACATCACAATTTCCTGTTGCATCTACAAATACGATTTCCGACGCTTGAGGTAATTCTAAAGCCCTTTGCATTATAGGCGTACTTATTGCAACGGAATGGTTTTCGCCGAGAGTACATACTTTGAACAATGTCCCATTTCTTTCATTTTCCGAAGTTAAAACATCTTCCAACTTCTTTAACATTTCTGGACCACTACGCTCTCCATATTGCTGTCTAAAGTTACTTCTCCAGAGGGTTCGCACATCGGTTTTTGTCGGGAAATAATGACGATCGCTTATTTTATCGCTATACTCATCACACAATTCTTCCATTTTCGTGGTGCAATACGTGTGCTAAGCAGACGATACAGAATGCCCTCTTTCAAATAACTCAAGTATAGATTTTTTTGTATCTTCTCCCAAAGGTCTGGTACGTAGAGCTTCTCCCACATCGGATCTATGATTGTGATTGTTCCGAAATTCTAATAGACAAGGGTATTCCTTGTCGACTTTATTTAACGAATTGTTGGCTTTGGACTTAGACATAGGAATAATTTTCATCAAAGTTAAAATTAATTTTGCGGGACAATTGATGTTTCTTGAGGATTTTTTCTTTAAATCTTTTGTATTTTTTCTTCGTCTGGTATTGAAGTGACAATAATAAATTCGCTTAAACAGGTTGTTTCTTGCTTTTTCCTTATTGAAAATTGTCTTTTCTATCGACCATGTTACTTTACTGATAGTTTGTAAATCTTCTACAACTTTCTGAAAAGAGAAAACATTCTCTATATGTACAGGGTGATTGTTTATATTTTACTTAATGGGTATCTTTGTTAATTTTGGTCCCTCATATGTAACATGTCAATGTCTTGTCAGACCTTTGCCATCTGCTTGGCTTATTTTAAATGGAACACCGTGTATTTCATTTACTTAATGGGTTATTTTTTGTGATTTTAAAAATACCTATTTTTTTGATATTACTTAAGTTGATTAGTTTTCGAATTGTATTAAAAAACACTTATACATATTTATGGTTATATTTAATTATTAACTTAAATTTACAAAAATTGTGTAAAATTTTTGAAACCAAAAAAAAATGCTCTGTGAATTGAGAAAATAAAGTACGGGGTGATCCATTTAAAAAGAACAAAACATATGTCAAAACTCTGACAAGACATTGACATATGTCATATTTGACATCGGATTCTGACAATTCAGCCAAATAAAATGACCCATCACCTTATCTGGAGAACCATAAGTGATAGAGAAAAAAATTAAATACAAATGTTCTTTGGTCTGATTTAAATTTTTTATTTATTATATTTTCATTTATACAGGGTAATTTATGTGGCCGTGACCCATTAGCGTAACTTGACATCAGGGGGCCTCGGTGCAAGATTAGATCAGCCCGCCCGTCATTGACCCCACCGGAGTTTTCTTTTGGTGCCACGCCCAAAAATGGTAATTTTAAGACTTCAAAAATGGTACATACTCTATTGTGTATTAAGGTGGAAATGATACATACCGACGGTGTAAGTTGGCAAACAACCGAAGGCCGAGAATGTACTTCTCCTCTGAAATACACATACTATTTTTTCTGCGATCGCTCAGTAATAGAAAAAATGAGGAATGCTTCTGTGTTGTTTTCAAAAATCAGCACACTTTCCCGGCCTAGGCCGGAAAAGTGATTCCCGTACTGTTATCCATTGATTCCTTAGCAATCACTTTCCCGTACTGTTATTTATCGATTCCTTAGCAACCATTAAAAATACCAGAACATTGAGTTTTGCGACCTGTCAACCGGTCAAAAATGATGACATTTCTCGTCAAGCGCAGAAAAACATTTTTTTTTTTCAAATTACATATTACGAATTTAATGAAATAGGTAGGTACTTATGACAAAAAAGGGGCCCCTGCGGGGCCCCTTAGGTCTCGGGGGCCTCGGTGATTTGCACCGAACTGCCCTATGATAGTTACGCCAGTGCCGTGACCACTATAAACTTTTTTATTTTAAATAAAACACCCTATATATTATTAGCTTTTTAGACTCTCCATAAAAATACAATTATTTTTTGTCCAACACTTTCCATGCCTATCTACAACTGTTTTCAAGATAATGAGAGTTGAAAAGTGGTCATTTTTCAACTTTGAAAGCCTATAAAATCTAAACGATTTCTCTCAAAGCAAAACGGCATTATCGCAACCGTCATTATCTTGAAAACAGTTGCAGATAGGCATGAAAAGTGTTAGACAAAAAATAATTGTATTTTTAAGGAGAGTCCAAAAAGCTAATAATATATATAGGTTGTTTCATTTAAAATAAAAAAGTTTATAGTGTTCACAGCCACATAAATTACCCTGTATAAATGAAAGTATAATAAATAAAAAATATAAATCAGACCAAAGAACTTTTGTATTTAATTTTTTTCTCTATCACTTATGGTTCTCCAGATAAGGGGATGGGTCATTTTATTTGGCACAGCCGGTACATAGGTATCTACTATTTTTGACCAAAGTTTTGATTCCTCAAGAATAATTGTGTTTTAACATGAAACTGAAATTTCATTTCAAAACTAAAAGGCTTCGATCATTGAAAATCGACATAAAAGAGGATTTCAACTTCAACTTTGGAAAAATCGTCAAGCTTCGTCAATTTATTGTCAAGTTACATAATTAATGTATTTAAAACCACTTAAATAATTTTAATTAATAAAAATATTTTAACTAATATTCTACGTCACTCTACTGTCTGTAAGTTAGAAGAAAACCCAGAGTTCATCAGCGTTGCCAACACTTTGTTGATTTTCCTACTAAATTAAACTCGGAAATCCTACTAAACCGCTAAACCACCAAAATTTTTCCTACTAATGCATTTACCCAAAAAAATATGCAATTACCGATTTCTGTCATCCATCTTTTACGTTCCCTCTCTATTTGAATACTTAAAACAAAAAAGGACAGCAAATAATTTGACGTTTACTAAGGAGTCCACCAATGAACTAGACAGAGAGCAACCCTAGTATATTAATTAATTAAAACTTGCCTTTAAATTTGTTGGAATTCTCTTAATTTCAAGAATCCACGATAGTATTTTACTAGTAAAAAGTGGTTATTGTCAGAAAAAAAACTACTAAAAATCCTACTAACCTACTAACTGAAAAATTTCCTACTGACGCGTTTCTAAAACCTACTAGATTTAGCAGGATTCTCACTAAGCTGGCAACACTGGAGTTCATACATGTTTTATAAACTCCCACCGCCAACTAATGACTTACGCGCCAAAAGAATGGGTTGATAAAATAATTCGACTTTCGGTCATCAAATAAACATACTTAATTAAACTCTAACATACCTCGATTTCTTCTTTATTCTTTGCATTTATCCAATAGAAGTCCATCCTGGTATTAATATATTATTAGGTGACAGGTAGATGTAAATGCTTATAAAATGTGTAGGTACATTTCTTGGACATTAAGCTACCTGTATCTCAAAAACTAGGATCAAGTTGGGCCAATAATAAGTATTGATCAGAAAGGTCCAATTTATATCATACTAGAATTTGGTTAAATTTGGCGGAAGTCCCAAATCCCATAAGAGGTGTGCGGGGTCCTTTCATTGTTTTAGTACTGAGGTAGCTACATACCTTATGATTTATTAGATTTTGGAAAATTCTGAAAGGTAATAACTTTTTTTCTATTATAGATAGGAAGCTGAAATTTTCAGCGATCCTTATTCCACAATCTCTGAAAATTTCAGCTCATTTGGACTTAAAGTTCCAGAAATAAAATCGCGTTAAGCAATTTGGGGTGAATTTCGAGGTGAATTTATAAATTTCTCAATTTTCTGAGTACCTTTTCTCATAGATTTCGGCTTCATATCTCGGAATAATTTAGTGTATCGAGTTTGGGGGATCCCAAAGGACCATTAAGACACAAAATCTCAAACAAAAAAAACATAAATTGAAATTTCATCGTTTTAGTCTTGAGGTAGCTTATGATTTAAACTTTTGAAAACTTTGAAAAATCACAACTTTTTTTCTATCAGAGATAAAAAGCAGAAATTTTCAGCGATTCTTATTCCAGTAAAAGACTACAATCCCTGAAAATTTCAGTTCATTTGGACTTATAGTTTCAGAAATAAAATTGCGGTAGCAATTTAGGGTAAATTTTTCAATTTTTCTAAATGCCTTTTTTCATACATTTCGACTGTTATCCATTGGAGGGTCTCCAATGATCATTTAAACACAAAATCTCAACATAAAAAAATTTGAAATTTCATTATTTTAATATCAAGGTAGGTACCTTATGATATAGATTTGTGAAAACTCAGAAAAAAAATGAGAAAACTGAAATTTTCAGTGATTCCTATAGAGAACTACCTTGATCCTTGTAGAAAACTACAATCCCTGAAAATATCAGCTCATTTGGACTCATATTTCCAGGGATAAAATGGTGTAAGCAATTTGGTATGAGTTTATCAATTTTTCAATTTTCTAAGTGTCTTTTTTCATAGATTTTGGCTTCAAATCTGAGAATAATTTAGTGTAGGGGGGGGGGGTCCTCAATGATCATTTAGACCCAAAATTTCGACACAAAAAAAAAATGAAATTTCATCATTCTAGTAGTTACTAAGGCATTTGGACTTATAGTTCCAGAAATAAAATCATGTTAAGCAATTAGATACCTTCTTGCAGGTAAGTACAATTTTTTGGTAATAACTCAAATAAGGCCTCTAATAATCTACCTGGGACTTTATTCTTGAAAGAGGGGAGCAGCGTTCCCAGGAGAACGAGCAGAGTTCCGAGTTCCGTCTCTCTCAATGATATGCAACTGATAATATAAGGTAACAAAGACGGAACACTCGTTCTACTGGGAACGCTGCTCTCCTGTTTCAAAAATAAGAATTCTGGTAAATTCTCCAATAAATATCAAACTTTCAATCCTGTTGTTTGGAAATGATTGTGAGATGTTGCTACATCACATCTACAGAAAATATAATGAATGGCCTTAATTTGCTGTGGAATTTTGCTTTTTTCCATATTGTGTGGAGAGGCCAAAGACAGATTTATCAATATTTGTGAGTCATTTTAATTAAATACCTTCTAAAATATTATAAATATCCGAGGGGTAAACAGATTCATAAATTTTGTACACCTCCTGCCTAAAACGCAATTATTCAAGTCCTGTCAGGTCCAGCCGAGTCTTGTCAAGTCCTTCAAAGTTTGTTTAGGTACCTACTGCAAAGTCCTGTCAGTTCCTACAAAGTCATGTCGAGCCCTGCAAAGTCATGTCAGGTCCTGCAAAGTCCTGTCAGCTCGACAGACCTAAATTTAT